ATTATATCCTACTCTCCGATCACCTCGCGGATGCAGTCAGGACACTTGTAATCTTTGATATGTTCTGCTTCAGAGGCAGTTACCTTCACATATTTGCCATGGAACCACTGGTCACATTCGTCACAACCAATCCAAAAGGCATTGGCATGATACGGAGCATTACAAGATCCGCAAAAGTCGGTAACTTCATTATCCTTTTGCTTGTCTGTAGCAGGCTTCCTAGAGTCCCTGTTTGGAGCAGACAAAACTTGCATTGAGTCTTGAGAAGGTGGCACGTTCTCTTCAGCAGGTGCGATATAGTCTACGTCGGGATTGGACACATTCTCTTGAGTTGGTGCGCTCGACTCCCAGTTTGCATTGTAACGCACAAATGTTGATAGCCAAGGAAGACCATAAGAGAGATAGAATTCGTCATGGACTGTTCGCATCTCGTTTACCATATCAAATAAATGTGTCCTGAAAGAGAAAGTAAACCAACATCACCAAATCAGCAATTGGCTTTGCAAGCAATATGTAACACATGACATTCTTGATGCATGGAGGAACTATATAAGCACAAGAACATAATGATTTAAATAGAAAACGAAGATCACCCCTAATAAGAATAGCCCATTATTTAATGCTGAGTCTCTAATAGTTGGTTCTGCAGGACTACTGTTCTGTTGAAGCTGTATTCTCTCTCGTGCTTGTTAAATGAAAAAAAACAAGATATTATGTCAAAAAATAGAATCTTCTATACGCTTGTTTAAAAGCATAGGAATTACATACTGTTTTGTTAGATAGAAGTTACAGGTTTTTGCGCTTTTTGCTGCACCATTCAATGATTCTTCTACATGCACATGCTTTATGTGTTGTGAAATTATTGGTTACGTTTCTCGGAGGTAGATTGCACATATAAATGTCCTAAATGTTAAGTGCACAAAAAAACTCTTTGTGAAACGAAGTAGTAGTAGTGGTGGTGGTGGTGATAGTAGTAACAGCAGCAGCAACAATAGTAGTAACGTACCTTTGGTTGGCGGCGAGATAAGTGGACAAGAAAAAGGTGACGCCCATGAGCCACGAGTCGGAGTGGTGGGCGACGAGTGTCAGGTAGTCAGAACGGTTCATATAATCTCGCCGGCGGTTGATGCCTCGTGTCGGCACCGGCAGGCCTGGCGGCACCATCTCCTCCGGCAGCGTCAACTCCCAACTACCGTCCGGGTACCCGTACAAGCACATTGGCTCTTTACCTGAAGCGAGAAAATGAATCACACCACTACATCGGCCAGTGATCTGCACACCTCGCCATCTTATATTTACTAATTGTAATTGGGACCACCATATGAGATTTACTTTAATTTAAGAAAAACTACCTCTCCAAACAATCCATTTGACAAAAAGTCATTATATTATTCAAACAGGTTTGATGTAGGTACATGCCAAACAACTCTATTGTAAAAAAAGCCGGAAATTAGATTGTAAGTTTGCATGTTTGTTTTACATTTGGGCAGTACTTTCGACACTTTATTTAATTAAATATTTTTTGCATGAAGCACCCATGCCATGCATAAGGCTTGGTGATGGTGAGGTTCATATCACTGGCTGCAGGCTTAGAATTTGCACGTACTTTAGGCCTATTACGAGGCGTGATAAATATGCAGTTCTCTATGTTTGCCAAATTTGCACAAATCTCCCTACTTTTGACTAATTTAAAATTAAGCCGGTCTTCTCTATGTCATCGTGAGAAAGATCGCTTGTGCACACACAAGTATATATGTTTATATACACTGTGCGTTGTCAGCGGAAAATAGCTAGAGTCTGTTTATATACACTGTGAGTTTATAAAAAATTTGATCATTACTAAAAAATAGAAAACTATATCATTTATCTGACGTATTTTAGTGAATATACATGTATATAATATGTGACTTAAAATTAAAAATATTTCAAAATAGAACCATGGATACTCTTCATGTCCAGGAGAAAATAAATGTCCTCATGTACTCTTGTAGAACACTTTTGCATGAATATTCGATGTAAATAGTAATGCATAATCGAGTCCTAGAAAAGATATGGTCTAGAAACAGTTGAAGATTTTGTGGGCGACAAGTGTTGAATGTCTAGAATAAACTTAAGACCAAACCCCCATCGTATTTCTTTAGGAGAAAAGGAGAAAAAAAAGTATACATCCACCAAAGAGTTTCGCGTTTGCAATACTATTGCCCACCAGTACACATGCAGCCTTCATAAAATTGCTACCATGTTACATCTTCTATCAATTTGGAGTTATTGGGGGCATAGCACACCAAGAATATATATCACGCGCATTGATTTCACACACTAGTCAATTGGAAAAGTCTACGCACGCAAAAAATACTACCACTAATGCAGAGAGTTGTTTATAACTCTATACTCTTTTTCCTTTGTCTAATACAAAAATAAACATAGTTGTATATCTCAAAATAACCTTTTTCTTCCGGAGAAATATGTTTGAAAGTAAGTGATCAGACTACCAGCCTAA